TGTGTACACCCAAAACAGCAGATCCAGATTTAACACAGTGTCCGAAAATATCCTCATCCCGGCAATTCCCAACACTCGCAGACCTCCGTCATCTGATATTTCACACACCTAGGGACCCTCTTCCCCTTGCCACGCATGACCAATAAAAGAGAACCAGGTTCCAGTGTCTCCTCTTCCCTTAGACATTAGAGAACGGTCAGCCAAGCGGAAGCACCTCTGACAGATGAAAGACATCTTTATGTCTTATTACCCCAATGCAAGTCTTTTTCATGGGGCACCCGGGGCCCATGGCTCCCTCCGAGCCAGCAGGCAGCTAGCCCATCTTACCCAATGGCTATTTATTTATTACAGGTATTTATATGGCGCTGACAATTTACACAGTTGAACATTCACATCAGTCCCCGCCCTCCAGGAGCACACAATACATACATACATACATACATACAGGGCCAACTTAGAGAGGAGCCAATTAACCTACGAGCGTGTATTTGGAGTGTGGGAGGAAACCGGACTACCCAGGGGAAACCCACACAAGCACACATGCAAACTCCTTGCAGATAGTGACCTGGCCGGGATTATGCAAGGCAGAAGTGCTAACCACTGTGCTGCCCATATGGCTATGCTCACAGTGGATGCATGACAGGTACTCTTTGGTGTAAATCATTAATGTAAAAGCCCTGAGATCATTTCTAAGCAGAATTTCCCATGTGACCCAGAAACAGAAGTCCGCGTCTTGAGCGTTTCTCACTTTTCAACGGCAAAAATCACCAAAAAATAAAAAATAAGAAAAACGGGGAAGATTCAATGAGTAAAATATCTCAGGAAGAGCGGAGCGGGGAGTTTCTGGATGCTGTAGATCGGACATCGCTTGTATTCACACGGCCAGTCGTCCCAGGCGTAGCGGACTCCTAGAACGTCACGGCATGCCCCGAATGACATGGCGACGGATTGAGCGTATACGATCAGGGAGGAGTACGGGACGGGAACCCACTCGTAGCCTTCACCGGAGGCACTGCTGCAATATAACTGGAGAGGAGGACAGAGGGGAGGTCAGTGTCATGGCCGGTACACGTCATCATCCTGCAGTCTCGTCAATAACCTTTCCCTATGGATAGACTGGCAATGGCATAGCTATAGTCAGAGCAGTCCATGCCACTGCTATGGGGCCCAGGAGTGGGTACTGCAGAGCTTCTACTACAGCCCCTCCCACCAGCCATGAACTGCCTGCATTGCATAGAGAAGCAAAGACACCCGTTGATGACATCACCAGGTCTAAAATAAGGTATATGATGAAAACGGAAAGTTTTTATAGAAAAATGTCAGGTTATTGAATGGGGGGGCGGGGAGGGCAGATGCTGAGAATGGCCTAACACGGGTCTTCATTTTATATGAACTCTTCCACATGTGCGAGAGCATTACAGCCATGAGGATCCATCAACAGCAATGCTCCACCCCTCAATGGCCATGGCTGCAGTCATGTGACCTCCGTCTGTCCTATAGCGTCATGTCTATATATAATGTAACGGTCACGTTCCTTCCCTCCTCACCTCGAACACGTTGTCATAGGAGCCGCCGAGGATGATCTGCTGGTCGTAGGTGATATTCATATATCGGTGTTCATAATAGACGTCGATACGAACTGGATACGGACCCTGAAACGGGACGTCTTTCTCGCCGTAGGCGATGGCGCGCGCCCCCAGATAGAGTCTGTACCCCACCGTCTCTTTATCTCGCGGGTGAACGCTGCAAGAGGATAAAACAAAGCCACCGATATTCAGTACAGAGCATTTCTCTCAGAGCTCGGCATCAGAATCCAGAACAGGACAAGTTGCGGCGACACCCGGCACAACCCAGTCACTCCAATAATCAGAAACGCGTACCTGCCGTACGGCGACTTCTCATCTCCGAGGTCCATGGCCGCAGCCATGAACGTGTTCGGCATCTTCGAGTTGGGTACGTAGCCGTAGTCGGCCGTCTGGTGCCAGCGGATCACGGGGTAGTTGTCTTTTTGTTTGGACTTCTGGAATGTGGACAGCTAGGGAACAATGAACAGGAGACGGGTTCAGCACCAGGTCAGGAGGAATCATCAGACCGGCTATGTATGGGTTAAAAATGACAACTTGTCGCAATGTGCATTAGAAGCTGCGGCAAGTCAGATAGAGCCTGGCTGTCCCTGGCCCCGCCCCTTTCATTAATTGGATTTCAGTCATTTCAATCATGGAGGCTCAGCATCCCATGTGGGCGTTACCTATGCAGCATCTACCTTGTTCCTCCAAAGCCTGGCTGTCCCTTGCCCCGCCCCTTTCATCCATTGGATTTCAGTCATTTCAATCATGGAGGCTCAGCATCCCATGTGGGCGTTACCTATGCAGCATCTACCTTGTTCCTCCCCAGCCTGGCTGTCCCTGGCCCCGCCCCTTTCATTAATTGGATTTCAGTCCTTTCAATCATGGAGGCTCAGCATCCCATGTGGGCGTTACCTATGCATCATCTACCTTGTTCCTCCCCAGCCTGGCTGTCCCTGGCCCCGCCCCTTTCATTAATTGGATTTCAGTCATTTCAATCATGGAGGCTCAGCATCCCATGTGGGCGTTACCTATGCAGCATCTACCTTGTTCCTCCAAAGCCTGGCTGTCCCTTGCCCCGCCCCTTTCATCCATTGGATTTCAGTCATTTCAATCATGGAGGCTCAGCATCCCATGTGGGCGTTACCTATGCATCATCTACCTTGTTCCTCCCCAGCCTGGCTGTCCCTGGCCCCGCCCCTTTCATCCATTGGATTTCAGTCCTTTCAATCATGGAGGCTCAGCATCACATGTGGGCGTTACCTATGCAAATGTGCCTAGGAACGCCCACTGCTCCAGTGTGACAACCAACCATCAAGGCATTTGCATAACTCCTCCCAAGAGCCCGCCCACTGGTTGTATCAGGGCTGAGGGCTCTTGAGAGGCGTAGCGAGGCAGGGTGCTGTGATGTTTTCAGGAAGCCATGCGTCAGCTAAAACCACACAGCTCGGCTACGTACAGCACAGCGATGATGTCAGCGCTACTTTGGCAAGATAATATCTAGGCATTTGGTGCACGCAGAGTGAATTTATATCCTTTGCGGCTATTGAGGAATATAAAAATATGAAACTTTTTGTTCTGCGAGTTGAGCATAAAGACTTATTTTACCTGAACAAACCCGAAGGGGAAGGTGGGGTCCGTCTGGCCGAGGGAGCCCTCGTGGAAGCTACGTCTCCAGTCTGAGATGAGGGCCGGGAAGGTGCAGTTATAGAGATTCGTGTTCATGCCAGTGTTCTGCTCCCCTGCAATCCGCATGGAAGAAGATTAATGAGGAGAGACGATTGGAGGGAATTTGTCTTTTGTTGCATTGAATGATCATTCGAAACAACCAAATCTGATTGGTAATCGTCACATGAATGGCCGCCATGAGTGGAGCTTCATGTACTGTAATGAGGTCACCGACCATCACACCTATGTGATCTTGCTGGACATCCCATTCTAGAACCATGGCCATCAATATGGAGTGGGCCACCCTTTGTGGCTACATACTTACCAACATTTTAGTCCCTGTGCCTCAGAAACAGTTAACTCCGCCCCCAGCCTGCCCAAACCCCACCTACTAACAGGAGTAAACCACCCAACTCCCCCTCTAAATATGCAGGGACAACCCATTCTAGAACCATGGCCATCAACATGGGGTTGGCCCCCTTTGTGGCTACATACTTACCAACATGTTAGTCCCTGTGCCTTAGAAACAGTTAACTCCGCCCATAGCTGCCCAAACCCCACCCACAGCCTGCCCAAACCCCACCTACTAACAGGAGTTAACCACCCAACTCCCCCTCTAAATATGCAGGGACAACCCATTCTAGAACCATAGCCATCAATATGGAGCCGGCCCTCCTTTGTGGCTACATACTTACCAACATTTTAGTCCCTGTGCCTCAGAAACAGTTAACTCCGCCCCCAGCTGTCCAAACCCCACCCACAGTCTGCCCAAACCCCACCTACTAACGGGAGTAACCCACCCAACTCCCCCTCTAAATATGCAGGGACAACCCATTCTAGAACCATGGCCATCAATATGGAGCCGACAGCGACAAATATGCAGCGACAACCCACAATCACTGTAATAAATGTCTTGAATTACTAAGCATAAAGGGTGACACATTATCATGGGGACAGAGTTCCAGCAAATCTGGGACAGTTGGCGTCTATGCAGATATAACATCCTCCGCTCTTCTAGCAAGGCTTCCCACAAGATTTTGGAGGGTGTCTGGGGGAATTTGGGCCATTTGTGTGGTCGTTTACAGATGGTGGCTGAGAAGATCTGGCTCACAATCAGCATTCCAAAGGTGCATTTACCTTGATACCATATGGCTCCTTTAATGGTCATGTTGAGGAGCGGGTGCATCATGGCGTTCCACAAGACGGAGTAATCACACGGACCGGCAAACGTGTCGAAAAAAGGAAATCTTTTAGGGAAAGAAAATAAAAAGACCATCAACACCAAACCTGCCAGCGTTCCGACGCTCTATATGGGACGTTCGGTCTCGTAGATTGTCTCCCCGGGTCGTGTTCCTCCAGCAGGTTCAGATATTGTTCACAGTCCGAAGTCTTCCCACACTGATGAACCGCTCACCTCGGTGTCTGGCTGGGGAGCCCGCATTCTTTCAGAGCGGTTTTCGATGACCACGCCTCCACCGGAGTCCCTCCCCAAGAAGATTCCACCAATCCTATTGGATACTTCAGCTTGCGCGCCAAAAGTCGCCCGAACACCCAGCACACGGCGGAGAAGTAGGTGAAGTCACCGTGTCCAAGGTTTTCTAAAATCAGAAACAAACCTATTAGAACCAGATTGTCAACATTGATTATTTCTAATCTGCTGATGCCCTCCAGCCACTTCCTTTCTACATGCACCGGCTCCTGCTGATCCCCCTCCAGCCACTTCCT